GGTTATCTTTTGTGTTATTTCCCCTTAACGTCGTTTTTTAAATTGTTCTCTAATTCCTCCATCGTCCAAGTTCCCCTTAACGTACAGGTAATAATAATAATACTTATTATTATTGTCATTTCGGCATTGTGTAATGAACTTGGTCTAGCCTTGTAATCAAGAACCTGCCGATTACTATGCCTAATATTAATAACTAGCTCATTTTTACATTCATTTGGTGCTCTGCCATTTTGGCAGGTCTTATGGCATCCAGTATTTTAGAGCTGCCTATTCTCAGCTCTTCTCTTAATTTGAAAATAACTGTCACTGTTTCATTTGATCAGTGATGAAGAAAAACGCGCTTCCTTACTCTCTGTGCTTTTCCCAGAAGCGTTTTTAGTAGGCCTAGGTAATTATGCAAAACCCAGGCATAATTAAAAAATTTAAAATTGTCATAGTATGTAACTCAAGTTAAAATAACACTTTTCATTACTCGTGGAGCTTAATCAAATATTATATGTAATTTTAAACGACCCATTGGTATTAACATGGTAACATCAAATATTATATGTAATTTTAAACGATCAATGTATTTTTAAAAATTAGACAGCGACGTTCTCTCAGAAGTTGTTCTGTAGACGTTTATCTGTTGACCTTTTGACCTCCTGAATTCTGCAATGAGATTTTCGGGTCGATTCAGACGAGACGGCCCGAGTGGATTTTCATGTAAATGTTTCGTACGGAAAAAAAATCGCCCGCCGGCCCTGAGGGTAAAATTTTACTGTAAATTGCTTGGTTTTGTTTTTGTTATGCTATTTATCTTTTTGTTGTTTCTGAACTGTCTTTTGCTTTCCTTTGCTTACATTTTATATTGTTGGGTGCACCATCTAAGTGATGGGTGCCACTGATCTAAAAGTGAACCCAATAAATCGTATCGTATCGTATCGTGTGCGTCTAGATAGCTCTATGGTTTAAATTCCTATACCTAGCCAGTACGAGTCGAGTCAATCCGAGACGGCCCGAGTGGAGTTTCATGCAAATGTTTCGTACGGGAAAAAAATCGAGTATCTTTGCCCGTACCAAAAAGTGAGAACTCTTCTTTCTACTGTAAAAACATCGCGGCTGTGTAGGAAACAACCGCTAAACACTATGGAACGCCGGAATGCCTTCAGTGAGCATTGCAATGCAGCAGTGACCAAATTCAATGCAGCAGTGCACAAACTTACAGAATAAATTGTGATTATAAATTCGGATTATGGTCAGGTGGTTTAGGGAGGAGATTTGTAAGAAAACTCTTGGAAATAACATATGGCCTGTTCTATAATATGGGTAAAATCTCCTATGTTGTTGTAATTTAATTGAGGGCGCTATAACAACATTTTCTGCTAATTTTTTTTAATTAAAAACATGTTTATTTTCGTTTGATGAGTGATAACTAGGCCTAGACTAAATACTCCACAAATATTCATGAAAGTGGTGATTATTCTGTAAAACAAAGGCTGTGAAGGTAGCTATATATGGCATGGACATATTTATGAAAGTTTTCATTCTGAAAGACTATTGATAAATTTATGCTGTGTAAAGACTTTCCTAAGCCACAATCTCGTTCTATTCGCCAAGCTAGGTTGGCTGTCTGTCAATTGGTGACGTGACGTAGAGCTAGGACTCAAGACAGTCACTCCAAAGGTTACTTCTCTACCCCTCTGACACCTAAAATTAGGCCTAAGAGAAGCTACACAGAGATCGCTTACACAATGTCTGCTCTGACGATAAAAGCTGCAGGATTAATCGTTTTCCGTCGGGTACAGGATAGCATACAGTATCTACTTCTCCAAGCATCCTACGGAGACAATCACTGGACACCACCAAAAGGTAAGGTCGCGTGAAATATCTATATCGTAAATGGGCTAGGTAGGCCTAGGCTAGCCGTAATCCATTTAAATCTAATGAATAAATAACCTCAATTTACTGGCTAGGGCTTATAATCATTTATCTTCGATAATATCAGTCTTTAAGGACTTAGGAGGGAGGAACGTTTTGTATGCATTATGTATGCTAAGGAGGTGGGGATATACTGTAGCCTAGCTATTGTAGGCCTAAAAAGAGACTTCAGGTTTCAGAGATAATGAAGATACTATTTATTTCTTTAGTCAATGCACGCATTAATTTTCTTTCAGTAGCTTTCTGTATCATGGTGGTAACTTCATCTGCTGTCCTCAATGGTACAAAAGCTTTCAAAAGTACCCCACGATACAGTAGGTCTGTTCCTAAAGCTTACTGTCATCGGTAGGTCTATTTCTACGGTTTAATACTATCATCTGAAAAAAGAATCAGAATGCAATCATTCAAGGAAACTTGAGGGGTGTGTCAATCTAACCTGGTATTGATTACTGATTTTGTTGACATTTTTTACTATTAAATTACGTTTTTTTCCTAATTAATTCTTTGTTTTATGCTTATAATATTGCAGTTAATGGAAATAATGATAAGGAGTTATACTGTATAGTTAGCTTCTGTAAAAATGAAATGAAACTAATAATTGAGAATATTCAAATAATTTGAATAGTCAATCAGTATGTAGAAACATAGCTGGCTGGATAGAAGCCAACATATTTTTGCATTTGTTATAATATTAAAAGTTCCAAAACAAAACAAGGAAAGTATAAATTATTAGTTTCTTCAACTAAATTACTATTGGCATGGTCATAGTTTTAAACATCTACAGTTTCATACAGGATATCACAAACATACATACATTTATACTTTACCACAATGTATTTTATAAATCATATACTGGATCTACAAATGTATCGGTCGGTAATGTGCAATGTTCAACATCTTAAATCAATTGTGATGAGAGATAATAAGAATCACTTCATTTATTCAAGGACTCATTTGTAACTTATTGTGGCCGGTGACCAAATTACAAATTACAATTAAGAGTACAGATTTTAAAGTATTGCATTGAAAAGAATAGTACCCCGGTAATTTGAAAATACTAAAAGGGGTAAAAACCTGGCAAAAAGACATTGAATAAAGAAGAAAATACAACAAACTACTAGGCAATTCAGTCTGAGAGGAGGGTATCTCATTCATATGACATCAGGGGTCCCAAATCTCCCGGAAATCGGGATGACCTTCCGCACTCCTGCAAACAAGCAAGATTCTCCCGGATATAACCCATCTCAAGTAAATTCATAATATTTGCATGTTTTAAATATTTTATTATCAATTATTTCATGGTAGTCACTGCCGATGGATCACTGTGTGCAGTATATAAAATTTAACAAAGAGAGTGTCATTTGCGGCAATCTAGAGGTGGCTTAGGAGGTACTGTACAGTAGGCCTACCCTAAATCAGTGGTGGCGCCAGAGGGGGCTGGGGGCTATAGCCCCCAAGTCAGGGAAGCCTAGCACCAACCCCCCCATCGGGGAAGACGAATACAATCCGTTGGGGAATAAAAAATATATTTTTACATATCTGTTCGTTTAACAACAATATTGCCTTCATTGACCTATTTGTGTACCTTTTGTGTTAACTTTTCATCACAATAATAAAAACAACAACAATAATAATAATAATAATGATATAACATAAATTCATGTGCCGTTTTATTGTATTTTATCCGACTACTGTATATATCAGGGGGCGGATTTAGTGGGGGGAGCGGCCCCAGGTAAAAAAAAGAAAAAAATGATAGCCCAGAACGCCTCAAATGCTATTTTCGGGCGTCAGAACACAAAAATTTCGCGGGGCGTGCCCCCGGCCCCCCAGGAGAGTGTTGTCTCGATCAGCCCAACTTTTGGGCCCCCCCCCCTTTTAAACATCTCTGGATCCGCCCCTGTATATTACTTTTCACATTGAAGCCCATGAAACAACATATATTCTTTACAATGAATTAATTACGTTCAAACATCTATTGGAACGTAAGTCAGCAGAACAGTGTCAAGTGTCAAAACAGCGTTTTGACACTATTTTTTTTAAATTTCAGTGCATATTAATGTTATGTATTGAAATACAGTAAAAAAAAAAAAATGCCCCTTCCACAGTTTAAAAAATTCTGGATCCGCCCCTGTTCAATGGGATTAAATAAAAATGGTTAACGTTCTACTATGACAAATGCTCGTTTGGATCCTCATGATGCTTGGAATACATCTTGATCGGGGAGCAACATCAGGCAAAATTTCCTAAATTTATAACTTTGAATTAAAAGCTTGTACTGTGACGTTCCCGGTGACATTGTGTTTTCTTTATATAATATTGTAACACATTGGTGGCCTTACAATTTACAGTAAGACATTATTCTTATTCGTAATTTTGTTAATAATACACAATCACATGGGTTATGAAAAACCTGGATTTCGCAATGATGGGAGGATAGTATTGAAATGTAATACGGTGGGTTTTTTTTTTAATAATATAAAATGTAAAACGGATTTGAAAATAAGTTAGTTGGTTACATTACATACTCTTTGTTTCTCGTTTCAATTTAACAAAAATCGGTTTTGGAATTTTTTGACATTAAAAAACATACATGAAGTCATTACGGTAGCTTGATGCCTATCAAATAACTAATAAAAATTTACCAAAATTCGTCAGATATCCGTAGAAGTGGCGGCTCTGGGATATAATTCATTGGGAGGGCTAAGATGTCCAACTGGGAGGCTAAGTAATTATGGGTGTAACTATAGCGCGCAGCATTATCTGAGGACTGAAGGCCAGAGCCAGCGGTGGGTATCGGAGAGGGTGTCTCCTCCCAAAACGAGATTTTTAAAAACAAAATTGGGACTTCTAGATGGCCGGAAATGGCTGGGATGGGAAAACTAGGCCTATTTTTTTTTTTTTTTTTGGTCCGAATGTCCGACAAGCTATGGCAGATGGGGGGGCTTAAGCCCCTGCCCCTCTGCTGGCGCCACCTCTGCCTGGAACCTCCTGTGGCCCCTAGACGGGTGGCCCCTAGACGGCTTCCCCCAGCTAAGTGAGGCTCGCCTAGCCCCCTGTCGGGGCCTTTAGCTCTCCCTGTCAGGCAGATCCTAGCGCCATCACTGCCCTACATCTGTGAAAGTTCCTCCCTGCCCAGCCCCCTTCCCGTTATTTCGAATTCCTGGTTCAGCCACAGTAGATCTTCTGGAAATGACTTCTTCCAACTTGGGACCCCTGGACTTTTAATTGTAATCATAAGGTCAACATACAGTAGTAAGGTGTCAACATATTAAGGGATGGGGCTGTTAGAAAACCGCTTTGTGTAGGAGGCCAGACGTGAAATGTCATTACGGCTTTCGACTATTTAGTTCAGATCAGGTGGGTGGAATTAAATCTGCAGAGTGGTTAGTGTTAGGGCCTGTTTCTGCTGAGCAAAAAAACATGTGTTTTTAAACGGTTATTAAAAAACACATGTTTTTCCCCAGCAGAAACGGGCCAAAAAAATGTGTGCATACGCCCATGGCTACTTATTTACTTAGAATCATAATAGTAAGTGAGGCCTGTTTATCTAGTAGTAGAACACTGTGAATAATTGTTTAGTGTATGACATTATTGTCATGCTGGTTATAAAAATAGTGTACTGTAAAGCAAAATTTTGTTGCAGTGTCTCATTTTTGTAATAAATTTATAACTTGTGATAATCATCCACCTTTTAAATACAATCTTCCTATTTTTGAGGGGGTCCTAATTTTGTAGCTTGGGCATTGAGGTGATATGGTGATATTTTCAGCTGGGCTTTATTCTCACACTGACTGTAATTTATTTTGCACAACAATTTTATGGCGGGAGGCCTAGGCACAACGCCCTTCCCCCCCCCCTCCCTCTATGCCACATTAGATATACATTTCGGCCAATAGCTTTAGATGAGGAAAATATGCTTTAATGCCTGTTTTCATTATTATTTTTTTTTTTCACAGGACTCCTTGAAAATGGAGAAGATTTTCAAAAAGCAGCAATACGAGAGACGGAAGAAGAGGCAGGCTTTTCTAGTGAGGATTTATCAATCAAAGAAGACTTTAAAAAAACTCTCAAATATGAAGTGAGGGGCAAACCTAAGGAGGTCATTTATTGGCTAGCAGAATTGAAAGACCCAAACCAGCCTGTCAAACTATCAAGTGAGCACCAGTGTTATAAATGGGTTCTACTCAACCGTGCATGTGAACTTTCAAAATATGAGGACCTGCAGGAAACCTTTCGACAAGCTGAATACCACCTATTGAAGTGAATTATGTGTTAGTTTTAGATATTCTAAAATTTAACTAAACTGTTTTATATTTGTGGTTCCATGTTTAACTAAACAGTCCAATTTGTTGTTCATTGTGGGCTCTACGAGTTGAAATACAGTATCTGCTGGTAAAATCTGGATAAACTTTCAAATAATCAATTGTGGAAAACTTACATTTAAGTGATCAAATAACAATTATAGATTTTTATGTTGAAAATCTTTAAGTTGGTTGTCACACAATTTGTGTCTATGTTTAAATGTGTATTTGGTTATTTTTCAAATGGTTAACAATATTAAGCCATGTTTGGATTTTTATTAAATAAGTTATGAAGTCAGTCTTATAAAATAATTCATTGTAAACAGTTTGCAGTAAAACATTTTCTGTGATGTGCAGAAATTACCCAAGTTTCACTAAAATGAAGTTTAACCAAGTGAATCATGCCCAGGAAGAAAAAACATTCTGATTTACAGGAGCAGAAACACCTGATTGGCGGTATTATCAAAAATTTCAACGCACATTTTGTACACTAAAGAGTGGACTTGTCTTTGATTAGACTTTTATGCGTGACAAGTTTGTGTCACTTCCTGATAACAGTGACGAAATGCCTCCAAAGTGCTGCATGTAGGCCCTATTTATATTTTATTAAACGTAAAGGTTATCTCAACACAGAAAGTATCATTTTTAAGTCCAGGTTTATACATTATCATTGAAGGGGCAATAACTCTAATTGCAGAGTCAATGACATGCATGATTTGGATTGGGTTACTTTAACAACACAGCCAAGTATGATTTGACTTCAAGGTTTACCAGACAACACAACCATGCATCTATTTTTTAACTGGGTTTACCGGACCACACAACCATGCATCTATTTTTTAACTGGGTTTACCGGACCACACAACCATGCATCTATTTTTTGACTGGGTTTACTAAACCACACAGCCAAGTATGATTTCACAGTTTTTTCTATTTTACTCATTGAGTGCCATGTATGGATATAACAGGGTTTCACTAAACTAAGAATAGTAATATAATAATAATTGTCGACTTATATAGCGCATATTGTAGGGACCTCTATGCGCTTACATTATTACCCCCGGATCAGTGGATCAAGCACATATGGAACACACACTCAAACCCCATAGAGGAATTCCATAATGTTGCAGTTATTCAGCGCAGGCTGTGCTTGAACCTACCAGGTACCCACTTGTAATCCTGGGTGGAGAGAGACAACCGTGGATAAAGTGCCTTGCCCATGGACACAAGCGACTTGCACAGCGAGAGTTTCGAACCCCCGACCTCAAGGTTGGGAATCCAAGCCTCAACCGATGCGCCAACCACTTCTAAAACCATATCTACCCTTATTTTATAAATTTTATCATAATTATACAATATAACAATGCCTATGTAGTGTAACAGTACCATTTCCTGTCAGCATTCACATAATCAATGTAGTCCATGTATTTAGCCAATTTTAATGTCTTTAAAAAAAAAATTGTGTTTTATGAAAAACAAAATGTTTTAAAATAGTAAATAATTTTAACTGTTTTTGACTTCTTTTAATGTATAAAATACATCTAGATGTGTATAATATACAAGTATTTTATTCAACTGTAATACAATACATTTTATACACATTCTGTGCATCTCTGTAAGTCATTACTGTAAGCCTACTGTACCAAGGTTTCCAAAATATTTTAGGAGTATTATTGAAATTTTAATTCAAGATTTTATGGATATTTTAATTTAAAAGTTTATTTTATTTGAAAATGAGGCTAAACATATTTTATTATTATTAATATTATTAATATTATTAATTGTGTTATACAGAATTACCAATATAACTAAATATTAATGGATTTATTGTAAAATGAATTCTAATTTGTATGCATTGATGCTTTATTATTGTTATTTAAGTTTTAAAATTTCATTTCTATGCATTAATGGTATTGTATGTGCTCCACTTTGGCCATTTCTGTTATTATCGGTTGTTGTAAAAATATGTAGTACAGTATCCACAATAATACCTTGGTGCTTAATTTCATATGTAAAGTTATTTGACCTTTGACGTATGTAGTTTAATGCAGACTGGTTAGGAACAATTACTCAGCATTTATTGGTCGACACTGACCTTGGATTGACATGCTTTGCATGGTGTTCCTTCTTCTTTATACCAAATCCCACCAAAGTTTTAAATAAATCAAATTTAGTACTGTACTTGAGTCTAAAAATACTATAGGACTCAAATGACTTAGAAAAGTGCCTCAGAAGATTTCAGTGAAAGCCACTAGAGTAAAAGAGGCCCAAATGTCTATTCACATGCATGGCCCACAATATTGTCATGATAAAAATGTATGCTTACAGTATAGACCAGGACCAAAATACTGTAATATAATAATACAGTTCTCCCTCCAATTAAAGACCACCTCCAATTAAAGACCACTTTTCTGTGGCTCCAGATAAGCATCTATCTTTTATTTTATTTTTATAATTTTGTTTTCTAATACAGTATAAGACCAAAGCTGCTGAAGACCATGAAACATTGGTCCCTAAAGTGGTCATTAGTTGGAGTGAGACCTGTACTGTTGTTATGAATAACAAGTGACATTATAAGTGTGCCTTTATATTATACAATTTCTTTCCATAGTTTATTTACAAAGCATTGCTTATTATTGTTTATTAAAAGATGTAGTACTATAGGGGTATCCTAAAGCCCTGTTTACACATCTTTTCTGTAAATGATTTGCGATTTCCCATATATGGGCATTAAATTACATCCATGCCCACATATGGGCAAATCACATACTTGTACTTGTCACAGAAAACTGGATAGTGGACAGATCTATATCACAATATCAAGTTGAGATATCCATCGAGACAACTGTTCTCATGGGTGTAGACTGATGTTCGGTGGGGGGGCCGCAGTATGTATCATATTTTTTGCTGTTATCACAGAGTTCAGTACTAGAAATTATTATGTGGTTTTATTACATTGTTATTATTTCTATCAGTATTATTGTTGATATTTTTTTGTTCATTACTGATTATTATTTTGTCAGTATTATGTTGATACATGGTAATATTAGCCATCATGCTGCTTTTAATAATTAATGTACTAGTAGTATTGTTTCTGGTGTTATATTTTTATTACTATATATATTTGAGGAAGATGTTCATTATGGTGTTAATTCTTTTAACTACTATCTTTAAATCGCAGTGTTGCCTTATATTAATATGATATAATAAAATTTAATGCTTATAACACTGACAGACTGTAATATGATGTAATGAAATTTAATGCTTATAACACTGACAGACGGTAATATGATGTAATGAAAATTAATGCTGGGTCATTCCAGTATGACCCTCTCAGATTTTGATGAAACTCATATGAGTGGGTGTTCAGGTAGCCGTAACTCAAAAAGTAAATCTTTTTTAATCTCCAAATTTTTAGGAATCGTAACCCACCAGTAGTACCAGTAGTACTTCCAATATATACAGTAATAAACTTAACTAAACTTATTTGCCCCAGATACAGCCTTCCAAAAATGCAAAAAGTTTTGTCCAGGCAGGTTTTTGTCCCATTTTTAAACCATTGCTTTTCCAAATTAGTACATGCTACCACTTTTCTGTTTGCAGATTTGGAATCAGCAGTAACATATGTTCTACACCACAAAATCTGAAGGTTATAGTTTCCGAAGATATTAGCATACGAAAATCAAAGTTAATTTCATGGTGCACTATTTTGTGCCACGCCCCCTTTTACATCAAACTGCCACTACGGAAAAACAAACAGGTATTGGAGTCTAAAAATTTCTGGTTTTTCAATTCACATGAATAACGGTCAGTATAAACAATTTTAAAAATCTATGATCCAATGGCATGGAATGACCCAACTCTTAAAAACTTCTGTTATTTCTGATTACATTAAAATATGTGTAGTTTTCAACATAGTATCTAACCATGAAGGAGCCGAGTACAAAAACTGAAATTTGTGGTACAAGTAGATCTAATATATATGATTAACTGGTGTAAATGACGAACCGTTAATGGGAAACATAGGTTTTTTCACTTTTTTAGGGCTGGTCCCAACTTTGAATGGATTCCATTCCATTTTAATTCATTTGATCAGCCTGTGCTTGCTTGTGGCTAGAGACAACTACCCATAGATTATATCTGTAATATAAGATGTATACACTCACTCATATGGACACAGGGTGACCTAAAAAATCGCAAAAAAAAAAAAAATTGCTTCGTGAAACAAAGTGGCTATTTTGAGTGCAGATATCTTCAAAAGAGAAGGGATAACGGTTAATCTGATATATTTGTGTAATATGGTGGGAAGTAAGTTAGAATACCAAGTTTGACCTTAATAGCTATTACCAATCCCGAGTTATAAGCTCCCAAATTTGGAGGAAATTGTGTTTGCGCATCTTGAAGAGCCACGCCCTTTTTTGGGGGCGTCAGTATCTCGGAAACTACATATCCAGTAGGGCTAATCTTTTGTGTATGTTGATTTTTCACATAGTAGATCATTTTTATGGAATTTCATCAAAATCCGAGACGGTCGACCTGGGACCTCTGGTTGATTTGCCATGGAATTATCCTGCTAACACTGACAGACCGTACTGTTACTGCATGCAGTATGCCTGTTTTTAATAGGCTGAATTGTTTCTACCCTTAAATTGGTAGTACAAAAGTAACAAATCATTTCCAATAATCCAGTGATGTTATTTCACTATTCAATGTTTATTGTGCGTTTTTCAGTTCGAATAATATCTTTTCCACATACATATGTGTGCATGTAATTAAAATGATCATGTGGCAGTACATATACATCAGTTTGACTACTATAATCATTTAGAGTACGTGTACCATGGCAGACTGATGACTCACTTCAATTTACTGTTTTGGAAAGAAAGAAATCATGCATGCTCAGTCACCCGAGATAGTTCAACACTTGAGTTGTAGAATAGAAATTTAATTTATGACCTATTCTACACCTAATAATAGTAATACAATTTCAGTTAAATTACAGTATTTTAATTGATTTAAAGAATATTTGCTGAGATGCAAAGTGACCGAGGTAGTTTTGGTTGTTCAGTAAAAATCATCAAATTATGTAGGCCTATTCACATTAAGAATTTAAAGAAAATATAGGAAAATACAATTTAAATATGCGAGTAAAATAATATTTGTTTATAGCACATGCCAATACGTCTG